CCAGATCTCCAGTCAAAGGATGTCTCTGACTTCCTCTTGTAGTTGCATTTTAACTTTCATCTTATCTTCGTGTTTTTCTTTCCTTTCCCCCAACTTCCCCATACTCTACTGCCTGGATTTTACTGCCCCAGGACTGGCTGAAAGCAGCAGCAGTGCAGGGGAGGTTTGGTACCCAGAGATGGAGGAGGCACCGCCCGGCCACGGGCTGAGCGAGTGCCTGGCTCCACAGGGCTGCACAGGAAGAGGTTGGGCAATAGAAAATGTGTGCTTGCAGCTGCCTCTGAGCAGTGAGCACAGTTTGTCAGCTGGAAGAATAACACTTGTTGCTGCTCACGTTGAGCTCTCTGTCCCAGTTTCTCCTGCTTGAGGCTGGGCCTGTCCCCGCAGGGCTTGGGGAGTTCCAGGCTCCTCTGGTTTGGGTTTTTCTTGTGCAAATGCAGCAGCTCTGCCCCAGCCGTGCTGCCAGCTGTGGATGGGGTTAGTGGGGGCAGAACCAGGCCCTGGGCTGTGCTCTGGGGGCTCTGTGCAGGTGCCTGGGAGCGCCTGGGAGCTAAGCCAGAAGAGGTGCCCAGACTGCTGGCTCTGCTCAGGTTCAGCTCTCTGAGGGTCCTTTCCTTCACAGGCTCCTCTGGGAGGAAATCCAGGCTGCTAGAGCTTTGGACAAGGAAATTCCTGCTTGCAGAAAGCAGAGAGCGAGCAGCCTGTTGTGCTGCTGTCACCCTGAACCATGGGAATCCCTGTCCATGGCAATTGGCAGCTCCCTGCCGTAGCTGAGCAGGGGAAGTGGGATTTGTGCTTCCTTCCCCAGTGAGTTTCACAGCCTCTGATGGTATTTATAGAGCCCTTGAACCAGAAACCCCGATCAGCCTCTGCCTTTCTCCTGACTCTGCAGAGCTGCAGACACCAGACAGACTCCAGGCCCTTCTGGCATGCTCACAAGGAAGGGAAATGTTTGGGAAGCTGCAAAAGAAGCCTCCCTGCATCCCATGTCCCTTTCGGAGCCACAAAGGAGGAAAGCCCAGGCTTGCTGGTGGTTTTGGTAGGGGAGGTCTTGTTCCTGCCTCCTCACCCTTTCTGCAGTCCCGGTGCTCACATCCTTAGGGCTCAAACCTGGAAAATACCTGAGTTTGCAATGGGATCCAGCCTTGCCTGGGATTTCAAGGGATTTAGGGACACTGGATGGGCTGGGGAGGAGCATGGCCCCAGCACTGCTGCCCCAGGAGCAAAGCCAGTGCAGGCTTTCCCTTTGGAAGCCTGCTGGAGCTCTGCAGAGCCCTGCCTTGGGACCAGCCACCCCTCCCAGACCCCACAGCTCCCCTCTCATCTGCCTAATTGCCTGGTAGCTTCCCAGCCAGCCAGTGGGCTTGGAACAAAGCCAGCCTGCAGTGGGAGCAGGGATCAGGGATGGGGCTTCCAGGGAATCTGGTCCTGTCTGCTCTGGGAACAGCTCAAGCTCGGAGCTCTCCTGCCCTGCAGAGCTGGGGAAGCTGGGCTGAGTTAAATGATCCCTTCTGCTCGGCAAGGACAGCGTGGGAGGTGAGCTGTGAGCTCGGTGACCCTCAGCCAGGGCAGCTGCTGGCAGCCATGTGCCTGCTCACTGCTAATTACATCATTAGTCATTATTCATAATTATACACTGCAATCTCATCTGGAAAGAAAATATTATGCTTGCACTTCAAAGGCTTGTGTTGAGGTCTTTGGAATGAGCGTTTTTCTCTTGATTCTTCCCTGACTAGAGTTTAAAGAGTGATTATTGTAAGTTTAGAGAGCACCAGCTCCTTCCTTGTGCAGCTTAAGTTCAGACAGGAGCAGGATGCAGTCAGCACCTTCACTTCTGACAGCCAGGGCACAGGATAACGTGTTATTAGCCTGCATGGTGTCAAACCCACTTTCATTTACTTCCAGCCCTCTGATTCTATCAGCCAGGAATCCAAGGTCATTATGCAATCACAAATTGTTTCTGAATTTCATTAAATCAGCAAATGGGCCTTAGCTACATATTTACATCAGCTGAACTTGTGATAATTTATCCAATTGGGCAATTATTGTTTTGGAATAAAAGAAGTCCCGAAGGATTCTGCTTCATATTAATTTGCCTGCAGAAGACTCAGTGCAACCTCGGCAACTCAGCTGCAAAAGCAGGTGAAAAGTTGCAATCCTGTTGCAGGTTCTGGGATAAACAAGTGTTTTCCTTTCAGTCTTTTACCACTGCCATACAGCAGGAAAAGGGGAGTGAAATCTTGGTGTAATTTAATATGAATGGATTTAGAGTTCAGGAAAGAAGCTATTGTGGCAACTCCTGCTTTGTACAAACAGATGGGCTGTGAGAAATGACACCTTTTGCAATAAAACTGCACGGGGACGGGTCACTGGATTTCTTGGGCTGCGTCCAGGACATTACAGGCTGTGTCCTGTATGTGACAGGATGCAGGGAATCGATTCTCTGTGCTCACCTCCTGTGCTGCTGCTGAGCTGGTGTGCAGTGGAGCTGGGGCTGGCGCAGGTTCCAGCCCTCCAGGCAGGTGTCCCTGCAGTCATGGACTTGCCAGAAGTAGGGAAAGCACCCAGGAGACACAGGCGTGGATGTCACTGCCTGCTGCCAGAGGGGATTTGCTGACCACAGCCCACTGCTGGGCGAGAGCTACGGTGCAGCAGGCAGGAGGGAGAGCTCTGGCTCAGGGGCTGCATCTGCCCGAGCGAGGGCAGGACTGGGAGAAATGGATCCAGATGTTTGCCCTGCACGAGTCACTAGGAAAAGTGCCTCTGAGTTCACTGAACTTGGCCCTGCTTCTCCTCTTCTAATCATTTCATAGCCAGGTTCACACTCATCCAGATCTAATTTCATGTACTTGCAAAGCCTGACTCAGCAATAAATGTTATCAGCCTCCACTGAAACCTGCAGAAAACGGGGGAAGAAGTCAACCTTCCCAGAACACACATCAAAAAGGAGCTCTGTCTTGCTGAGTCAGGCCCTCACTGTGCCTGGACCCTTATTGTTTTGAAACTTGGAAGATGGTCCACAAGCCATGAAATAGATAAGTGTGTGATTCTTAGATACAATAAAACTCTTCAGTTGGTGTTCAGTGGGAAGAGCTGCAAATGTCTTGATATCTGGGGCAAAGCTTGTTAAAGCTTTAATTTCAAAGGAAATTTGGGGTGAAGCCTTCAGAATGCTCAAATGTACACTGAGTCTTTTAAAGGAATTGCATCCCTTGCCGTTTCTGCCCATAGGAACATGTTTTTACACAGCTTTTAAAACAGAAGTTACTGCTGATTTTGTCCCTGCCTGTTTTCCAGACACAGGCAATGTTTTTAAACATTGACCTAGTAACTTCCTAAGTTCATAGATTTCACGATAACGTTTGTACTCTGAAGAAACGAGGTGCTCAACCACGAGTGCTGAGCATCCTTCAAGGCAGATGCTTTTGCCACCCCGACTGTCCCACTGTGCCTGAGCCTCTCAGGGCTGAGGCTGCCAAATCCTGCAAAGTGTGGAAATCCTTTGCTGACATCGCCCTGCCTCCAGCGACTCCAATGCAGCCGTGATTCACCTGGCTCCCAGCACGGTGGTCCCCAGGGAAGGAGACACCTCTTAAGCCATAAAAACAGGGATTTACAGATGGGTATCAGCAGCCACAAATTGTACCTGGAAGCAAAATTGTGCGCTGTGTATTTATTTCTGCTGCACGCACAGAGCTGTGAGAGGAGAACTGGAGCACTTTCAGTTACAGAGGGTGAGTGGGGACTCTGAGCTCTGTGTGCCTCCTGGCCGCTCACTTGCTGGGCATTTTGGATAAGTCATTTAATCTTTGTTTTCTCATCTGTACAGCCACACAAGTAATATTTAGCATTTTTGTTGGAGTTCTGGATGAGAGGCAGCATGACTGCTAAAATATTGTTGCTGTAGCGTGTGACCTCAGGGAATCTGCTCGTGTCTCTGAAGTTTTGCAAGCGGCGGTGGGGAGTGTGGGGAGGCCCGTGGGTGTGCTGCTGCTGCTGCTGCTGGCACCGTCCTCTGCAGGAGCATCCCCAGGGACAGCCGCAGTGCTCCTCCTGTCCCCGGTTACGTGAGGAGGTGACAGTGCTTGGAGCTCGAGAGGTCCCTCTGCACCTCGTGGAGAGCGGGCATCGCAACCACGGAAGCTACTACAGCTCCTCTGGGGTATTTATGCATTCTTAACAAGGAAAAAAAGCCCCTGAACTTTATTGACTGTTGACATTAGGTTTTCTGGAGTGTGCAGTTTGGAGCTGAATTATAGTTGAAGTTGGGGCTAATGAGGCCATCTCCCAGATCAGGGACTGTGCAGGACTTCTGACCTGATCCTCCCTGTGCGGCTGCCGTCACCTACAAACCTCGGTGACAAAAACACCATCAGGACCTGTATGTGCCGTTCCCTCTTCCCCAGTTTTATCTGTTTCGTGTCAATTACATGTGCACTTCCGTGTTACAGCTCTTTCTTTTCATAGTTTTCTACAAAAATAAACAAAACACTTTGAAGTGCTCTCCCGGGTCGGAGCCGGAACGGAACCGGGACGGAGCCGGGACGGAGCCGGGACGGAGCCGGGATGGAACCCGGACGGAGCCGGGACAGAACCGGGACGGAGCCGGGACGGAACCCGGACGGAACCGGGACGGAACCGGGACAGAACCGGGACGGAACCGGGACGGAGCCGGGACAGAACCGGGACGGAGCCGGGACGGAGCCGGGACAGAACCGGGACGGAGCCGGGACGGAGCCGGGACGGAACCCGGACGGAACCGGGACGGAGCCGGGACGGAGCCGGGACAGAACCGGGACGGAACCGGGACGGAGCCGGGACGGAACCCGGACGGAACCGGGACGGAGCCGGGACGGAACCGGGACGGAGCCGGGACGGAGCCGGGACGGAACCGGGACGGAACCGGCCCCGCCGGCCGCGCACCTGCCCCGGCCCTCCCGGAACTCCGGCCGTCCCCGCCCGCCCCGCTGGCTCCTCCCCGGGCCGCGGCCGCGGAGGGCGGAGCGGACGCGGCGCCGCCGCCGCGCAGAGCAGCAGCGGCAGCGGCAGCGGCCCGGCCCGGCCCGAGCCCCGAGCCCGGCCCGCAGCGGCGGCGGAGCGGCGGCGGGAGGCGGCCCGGGGGCGGCGGTGAGCGGGGGCGGCGGCGGGCCGGGCCGGGCGGCGGCGGGCGGAGCGGCGGCCGCGGCCGTCCCGGCGGGCCCTGGAGGCCGCGCGGGCGGAGCGGGGCAGCGGCCGGCGCGGGGTCCGGCGGGGCCGGGCGGCGGCGGGCCGGGCTGGCCGCTCCCTCCCGCGGCCCGGCCGGCAGCGCGGGGAGGCGGCTTGGCCCCGTCCGGCCGGCCGGCCCCGCCGGTCCGTCCCGCATCCATCGCGTGCGGCCCCGGGCGGGCTGCGCGCTGCCCGCGGTGCCGCCGGGCTCGGGATCAGCGCAATTGCCGCGGTGGCGGCGGGGTCAGGTGTGTGCGGTGCCCCGCTGCTCCCCGCGCTGGGAAGGGGCGCGGGGATCGTGCGGGGCCGAGGAGCGCCGGAGTGAAGGGACAGCGAGGCCGGAGGCACGGAGGGTGGGCTGGCACAGGCACGGCAGGACGGGGCACAGCCTGTACGAACCGGCCTGATGGGCGGCAGGAGGTTTGGGCAGCTGGGACAAGCCAAGGGGCAGCCCCCCGTGAGCCACGTGGAGCAGCGGGCTGGCCCATCCTCATCCTCCCCATCCTCACCCTCCTGTCCATCCCCATCCTCACCCTCCTGTCCATCCCCATCCTCACCCTCCTGTCCATCCCCATCCTCACCCTCCTGTCCATCCCCATCCTCACCCTCCTGTCCATCCCCATCCTCACCCTCCCAGCCCATCCTCATCCTCCACTCCCAAGGACTGGTTGTGTCAGACCACCTCAGCTCTGAAAAGGGTTCTTGCACTTCCTTCAGTCGCTTTAAAGAGAAACTGTGCTCTGTGTAGGGAAGCTTTGGTGTTTAGATACTTCTCGTTAATTGGTGCCTTTGCTTGCGATATTTGAGGTACAGGGCATGTGGGTTTGGTGCAGGGATTCCTGCGAAGCCTCCTCGGTGGGAAGGTTGGGGTTTGGATGCAGTGAGCCAGTTCCCCCTGACACAGAGCTGGAATTGGGTCTTGCTTTGCGCACAGCTTGGAAAGAGCTGCAAACAGGAAGGGCAAACGATGAAAACTGCGTTTTTTCCTTTCAGTAGCTTAACAGGGGAGATAATATATCTTAAAATAGTGTTTGACTTGAAAACGCCTGTCTGCCTTCGGAGTATTGTACCGGCACTCTGTAATTTCTGCTGCTGTTGTAATTCTCTCTGAGTAGTTGTGTTGCTCCACGCAAAGAGACACCAGATTATTTGAAGACTTGAGGAAAGCGTCTGTTCAGTTGACAGTGCCTGTCTGCTGTGAAATGTTTCACTGTTGTGATTTGTGTCATTGCCTTTTTCATGCTGAAGTGGTGTGTCAGTAATTCTCCCTGGTGTAGCGGATCCTCGGATCTGAAAGGGTTTTAATGCGGGAATTTGTGAGACTCTCAGGAAGTAATGGATGAAGCTTGTAGAAACAGAGAATGGTGCGTTAGCAAAGCTCTGTGCCTTTAATGAGAAGTTATCCAAAACCAGGCAAGTTAAAGGGAAGTTCCAGATGGAGCTTTTGTGGTCTCCGCAACTTTCTGAATTCACAGAAGCGATATATTTCACAAGTATGAAATGCTGTCTGATTATTCTGACATCATTATCACGTTGCTATAGTGACTTCATTGCGCTGGGAATGCCATGTTCACATCCGGTTGCTATGGAAAAAATCAGTGTCATAAATAAAAACATTTAATGTTCTGTTCATCCCTGCGGCAGGAAAAAAGGCATCGATTTATTGACGCGAGTGAAGACTGGCAACATATTCCAACAGAAGCGCTTAGTGCCAAGTCACAAACTGGGAAATTGTCGCTTGCCGCTCTCGGCAGATTGTCCCTTGCCTCTCTGTGTTGTGGCAGGTAGCAGAAGTTGTGAAATCCTGGGTTTGGAACGGAGGGTGACAGAGCGTCTGTCGTTCTTCAAGGTGGAGCCGGCAGGAAGTGCTGCGCTCGCACCGCTTCTAAAAATAATCTGTTTTTATGCACAGCGTTGGCGTGCCTCGCGGGAGCAGAGCTGCCCCGCTCAGGGCAGCTCCTGCACGGGATGGGGCTGCCCGGGAGCTGCGGGGCTGGGGAGCCTTAGGGCCAGCCTGGGATGGAGCTGTCCCAGGCCAGAGCTGTCCCACCTGGGCTGTCACCCCGGAGCTGTCCCAGCCGGGCTGTCCCACCTGGGCTGTCACCCCGGGCTGTCACCCCAGTGCCCGCCAGGCCGGAGCTGTCACCCCAGGCTGTCACCCCGGGGCTCCCCGGAGCCCAGCGCTGCCTGCCATCACGTGTCCTGGCTCTGGCGTGGCTGTTTTTAGGGTAAGTAGCTTTGCTGAAGGTTCTGAGAGGATCTCCTGCCAAACGGGCTGAATTAACTCGCACTGCCCAATTCCAGCGACAGGTTAATGCTTTTATTTGGAGACTGGTGTTTACACAGGGCATCAGAACAGTTTATATGTGAAGCCATGAGCTGCAAATACACGGACATAGGTTATTAGTGATACATTTCGTGGCTGCTCGGCCAGTCTGAGGACTGTTCTTAAAAAAACTGAAAAGTAATTAAATGGCAGGAGGGCAACATGTGGATGTGCTTGAACATTAAAGTTGTAATTGTATATTGAATCATCGTGCTGGGCATAAACAACAGCAAGCACTTGTTTGTACTTTATATTGCAGTGCTTTTTCTCGTACCCTGCACGTGCACAGCGCACTCGGTGGCACTTTGAACTCGTGCTCAGTGTTTAGAGAACAGATTGCTTCTGTGCAGCTTTGCAGACTTAAAAAAATCATCTTCAAGAGGAATCCTAATGCTCTGACAACAGGAACCTGTTATCTGCTTTCCTAGAGAAAACAAAGTGTATCTTTTGAACATACATAAGTTCAAACCTTTAGGCTTTATATTTGAAGTGTTTTTTATGTGTAGCTGTTTGAAGTTCAGGATTATCCTTGATCCAGTGTTACTTTCAACCTTGCCAAAATCAGCTTAGCTGGCTCTGGCTGTGGATGCTGATCAAAACTCTTGGGTTTTAGGGCACTATGGGAGACCTACTATTTTATCAGTTTCTTTTAATTTCTGATGAGCCACATTCATGTTGAACATCAGTCGCTTCTTATAACTTCGTGTATTTAATTCTGCAGAAGCAGATTCAAGAGAGACACAATTTTTAAAACTTGGTCAAGTCCGAGGGTGGCGTTTGGCCTTTTTTGGCCTTGATTTTGGGGGTTGTTGGGTTATTTTTTGAAGATGAGGTAGTGAGGATGGTGGTTAAAGTATAGCCTCAGTTCATTTTATGTTGAGCGCTGAAGTAGTTATTTCTTTTCTTTTGCTCTTTTATTTACTAGATAATTGGAAATTAAACAGAATTTTAATGAAAGCATCTTCCTAAAAGGGTGCTTCTAAATCCCAGGGTCAAATTTTCCTGTAGGCATTTGTGTTTGCTCTTTAGGAAAATTGCTGCTGCTGGAAACATGACACCTAATGGCAGAGATAAGTAAGGATGTCCCAAAGGCTTCTGAAAGGACTGTTCATCTTGCTGAGCTCTCTCACTTGGTCCAGCCTGTCCTGCTCAGATGTTAAAACTTGTGTGAGATGCAAACAGTCCCTCTCCATCCTTCCCTGCAGGTCCTGGCAGGTAGAATTAGACTCAGGACGTTTCAGTTGGTGGAAATGGAGCTGCAGTGGGTTCTCACCCCCTGTGGGGTGAGGAAGGCAAGACAGACTGAACTCTGCTTTCCCATGTGGACCGTTTATTGTTGAGATTCAGAAACTCTTGGAAGCAAGACCCCAGCGGGAATCCAGCTGCTGCAGTTCAGGGTCTCCAGCAGGAGCATTAGAGTGAAGAACCATCTGTGCTGGCTGAGTGGAGACCTGTTGAACTGTGATGCCAGAGGAGAAAGGACTGAAGCAGGAGTGAAGAAGATGCACGATAATTGTGCCAGCACCACTGCTGATGGAGGAAGGAGTTGAGGAGAACAAGAAACTGCAGTTCCTGGCACGTCTGACCCAGGGCAGTGTCCTTCAGCCTCGAGCTGCAGCAGGGCTGATGTGGTGACTCTGCTGGGCCTGTGGGAGCTGGGAGGAACCTGTGGCTCACCCTGGCTGCCAGGATAATACCAGATGGGTGACATTTGGTCTCTGTCCTCAGAGGTACCAGGCTGTTATTTGCAAGGGCCAGCCCGTGTTTGTGAGAGTTACATGCAGCTGCCTTGCTGTTGCAGCAGATTGAGGAGCTCTGCTGGTTGTTTTTCAGCTGCCTGTGTGCTGGTGCCTGTTGACATCCTCTGTGAGCTGGTTTGACATGTCTGACTGAAACCCTTCAGAGCTAAATGGCTCATTATAAGAAGCTTCCTGTTATTTCCTGTGATAGCATAATTCTGTTAATTAATGCCTGTTTTCTGAGCTCCCCTCTGAAGGAAAGGGGACCCAGTGGCAGCAGAGCATCAGTCAGGACACACCTGGGCCTGCTCGGCACTTGGTACCTGGTTTTTACACTGGAGCACTCTGTGCTGCACCTCTGGGGCCACTTCGTTCCCAGGTCTGCTCTGAAACAAGTTTTGCTCTGCAGAGGGGCAGGAACTGGTTACTGAGAGATCACTCCTTCCCTTGCAAATACTGCAGTAATGAAGGCTGTGTAGAGAAATCCATTTAACAATATTAAAATGAGGAGGCTGTGGGAAGAAGGGTGGTGCTCCAGGAGGAGGCACTGAGCGTTACATTCCTGATCAGAAATGGTGTGTTTAAACTTAAATTGCATTCATGTGCTCTGGGAAGATCCTTGGGGTGTGTGTGGGAGAAAATGGGACAGCAGAACCCATCCCTGTGGATCTGCAGTCGTTTTGGGGCTGTAGGCTCTGTACTGGCGGGCAGCACACCTGGTGCAGGTGAGCTCAGAGCTGCCTGCTCCTGTCTCTCCCCTGCCAGCAGGGCTCAGGGCAGGGCTGGGGCTCTTTCTCACCGTGCCAGCTGCTGGAGCAGGTCGGGTGGCTCCCTGAACCCCGCCGTGGCCACATAAA